ATGTACCACTGCTGTTTATGTATAAATGGAGAGGACAATGACTGTAAAACACATCTTTTTGGGGGTAAAATAGGTCTTTTTACCAATTTTATGAAAAATTGACGACTGGACATTGAACTTGGAATGAGTTGCGGAAAGTATGAAATAACGGAAAATCATGTTTCGCCTTCTTGTTGATTATTTTCAAATTTTCAAAAAATTATCGTTTTTGAAATAGCGATTTCTCAAAAACCGCCAATAAAGGCAGCACTATGACACATTCGGAGAAAAGCAGATACCTTATAGATTCGATTTTATTATGTCAGAACAGTAGCAGCACGTTTTGACTTGGCCATATATAATACCAAACATAGCGTATAATTTTCAATTTTATCAACTATGTAGATGTAACATATTTAAAAACGGTTAGGTATTTCAACTTAATTTACTGGATAATTCATCAAACACTTTTCTCTCTTGGTCATACATCAAAACTGTATGTTCACTAAACTTGGAATAAGACGGCGAATCATAAAAAATACCAAAAAATGATTTGACGCCCTCTAGTGGATTTTTTCGAAGTTTTTAAAAAAATATCGTTTTTGAAAGGGCGATTTCTCGAAACCGCCAATAAAGGCAGCACTACGACACATTCGGAAATAAACAAATACATTTTGAATTCCATTTCACTGTACTAGAACAGTAGCTGCACGATTGACTCCGCCATACGTAATACCAAACATATCGTAAATTTCCCTTCTTTTTTACATTTATTTTTACATTCGCTGATACACCTTGTCATCTTAGATAGACATTCAAGCATGGTTGTGAACATTGCCTTCTTTCGCAATTTCGCAAGTTATTTGTAAGTTTCCCGCCGTGTTTCAAAAAAATAGGTTTGGATGAAGTGTTTTAATCGTTATCATGTCTTCCGATGAGCTTAAGTTTGATTGCAATAAATAAGTGCGTTCTGGAAAGACAGCGATTGACTAGGGATAGGCTAAAATGATCCATCATTACTTGTAACCGATTCGTGGTTTTATATTTTAATGAAAATAATGACTTAGAGCTCGTAAATTAGTTTATAAGCGGCATATCTCCAAAACAATTCGAAAAAGGGCCTCCAAAATGTTGCAATAGCTAAGTAGAGAGATAATTTCAAGATCAAGAGTCAAGAGGGTGAATATCTATTTCATACCAGACAATTTCATGCCTTCTCGTGGATAAGAAAAATTATAGTGGTAATTGGACTCCTTTAAACAGCCAATAAAGGCATCAATACCAAACATTCGAAAAAAAGAATAACACTTTAGATTCAAGTTACGAAAGAACAAGAACAGCAACTTTTGTTATGACCGTATATATGTATAATACCAAATAGACAATTTATTTTTTAACCTTTGAGCAAACGTAGCATATTCCTCATTACCTATACCCATTAGAGAGTATGTCGTAAATGGAATGACTCAGCAAATTTTTTTTAAAATATCGTGTAATTGCACATTTATTATGAGTTGCATTAAACGTAGTATCACAAAATGTTTTTATGCCGTCTCGTATAATATTTTGAAAATTACCAATCACTGAAAATCATTGCTATCAAAGGGGTGATTTCTCGAAAACACGAAAATAAAGGTAGCACTACATACCACACACGCACTACAGAAGAAGAACACCTATATGTTTGATCATACATTATGGTGGAATAGCAGCACGACATGGCCATACCTAATACCGAACATATGATATTAAATTAAGCATTCACAGTGGAATATCAGCGCGCATTTTGAGAATCACCACGCGACCCATATTTCAATGCGCGTACGTAAAGTTTGAACAAACGTATTGCTTTTGAGAAATGAATCGTCACTGTTTGAAGTTTGAATACACGCTATGTTTGGTATTATATATGGCCAAGTCAAAACGTGCTGCTACTGTTCTGACATAATGAAATCAAATCTATAAGGTATCTGCTTTACTCCGAATGTGTCGTAGTGCTGCCTTTATTGGCGGTTTTTGAGAAATCGCCCTTTCAAAACGATAATTTTTCGAAATTCCGAAAAGGATCCACAAGAGGGCGTCAAATCATTTTTTGGCATTTTAAGATTTGCACACTAATTCCAAGTTTAATGAACGTACAGTTTTGTTGTATACCCAAGAGAAGAAAGTATTTGATGAATTTTCCAGTAAATTTAGTTGAAATACCAAACCGTTTTTAAATATGTCACATCTACATTTTTTAATAAAATTGAAAATATACGCTATGTTTGGAATTATATATGGCCAAGTCAAAACGTGCTGCTACTGTTCTGACCTATTAAAATCGAATCTATAAGGTATCTGCTTCTCTCCAAATGTGTCGTAATGCTGCCTTTATTTGCGGTTTTCGAGAAATCGCTATTTCAATAACAATAATTTTTTGAAATTTCGAAAATAATCCACAAGAGGACGTAAAATGCTTTTTGGTATTTTATACTTTCCGCAACTTATTCCAAGTTTAATGAACGTATAGTATATATGTATGTCCAAGAAAAGAAGATGTTTGATAATTTATCTAGTAAATTTAGGTGAAATACCAAACGTTTTTTGAATATGTCACGTCTGCATTGTTTATAACTTTTTGAATACACACTATGTTTGGTATTATATATGGCCAAGTCAAAACATGCTGCTACCGTTCTGACATAATAAAATTTAATCTATAAGGTATGTGCTTTTCTCTGAATGTGTCGTGATGCTGCCTTTATTGGCGGTTTTTGAGAAATCACCAATCCAAAAACGATAATTTTCGAAATTCTCGAACTAATTCAAGGGGAAGCGCAAAATTTTTTTTATTATTACTTTATACTTTCTGAAACTTATTCTAACTTTAATAGAAGTACAGTATTGATGTGCGACAAAGAGAAAAAGATATTTGATCAATTATCCTGCAACTTTAGTTGAAATACAAACCCTTTTTTAATATGTTACGTACCTTTGTTTTGTTTGCTATGTTTGGTATTATATATGGCCAAGTCAAAACGTGCTGCTACTCTTCTGGCATAATAAAATCGAATCTATAATGTATGTGCTTTTATCCGAATATGTCGTATTGCTGCCTTTATTGGCGGTTTTCGAAAAATCGCCACTTTAAAAACGATAATTTTTTTGTAATCCAGGACAGAATCCACTAGGAGTCGCAAATGTTTTTTTGCTGTTTTATACTTCCCGCAACGTATTCCAAGTTTAAAAGATGTACAGTATTAATGTGTGACAAAGAGAAAATGATATTTTATCCATTATCTAGCAAATTTAGTTGAAATACAAAATCAATTTTATATTTGTTACGTCCATGCCGTTATTAAAATTTAGATTACACGATATGTTTGGTAATATATATGGTCAAGCCAAACGTACTGCTACTGTTCTGTTATAGAAAATCGAATTTATAGGCTAACTGCTTTTCTCCAAATGTGTCGTGGTGCTGCCTTTATTGGCGGTTTTCGAGGAATCGAGGTTCCGAAAAAGATAATTTTCCGAAACTTTGTATTTGCGGAATACCTGAAAATTAATTTTTCGCTTAGTTAGTCTTTCTTTAAACACTATTTTCTTGTTAAATTTAGTGTAATTATTCAGTTTAAAGATTTTTCATCTATATTCGTGCCAATATTATATTTTGATCAGCATTTTCAATTTTCATATTTACCTATAAGTGAACACTATATGCGCGTGGAACCTATATTCAATGTGTAAAAATATTCTGGCTGAAAGTGCTGCTAGCTTCACAGTGGTGGTATAAATGCGTACAACCAGTAACAACGTAATAGAAATGGTACGGGTTATAGATTGTCAATGTTAACGCTTCCAGTACCGGACGGACCATGTTTATCATGATAAAAATATCAAAAAAGATGTAAAAAATATTCTATCTTCAAACTGCTTACGTATACAATGAAAGATATCTAGAAAATTACAAAAAATGCAAATTTCTGCTCTGGTGATCACACTTCCCATAAGAACTAATGTTAAAAAAATTTTTTTACATCACTTTTATTGTTTGCGCGTAGGATGGGTTTTTAATGAATAAGGTCTATTACAAGCATGGCAATAAAATAAGCTTTGTAACAGGTCGTTGAGGACAGAATATTGGGTCTGGACACTAACAGATCGAACAAGGCCCTCCTCGCCAGGGAAAGTCTTGATAACTCTACCCAACAGCCAAGTATTTCGTGGCAAGTTATGATCCACAATGAGAACGATATCGTTCTCACACATATTACGTTGAGGTTTGTTCCACTTTTTTCTTTGTTGTAAAAGAGGTAGATATTCCTTTCTCCATCTTTGCCAGAAAATATCTGCCAAATACTGGACCTGTTTCCAGCGTTTCCTCGAATACACATACTTTTGTTCAAAAAACCTGGTGGAAGAACAGGTTCTTGCTTTAATAACAATACTGAATTTGGAGACAGTGGTGTCAAGTCATTTGGATCACTTGAAACTGTTGTAATTGGACGTCCATTTATAATAGATTCACATTCACACATCAAGGTGAATGAGCCTCGTCGCTTAAAGTTTGTTCCCGACAAATTGAATTAAATACCTTTCTGACAGTCCGAATTTGTCTTTCAAAAACACCACCATGATGTGAAGTAGAAGGTGTTTGAAATATCCATTTTATATTTTTCTGAAGCAGAAAATCACGAACTTGCTTCTGATTCCAACATTTTATTGCTTGTCTAAGTTCATGTTCAGCGGCTACAAAATTTGAACCATTGTCACTTCAAATTTCCAACACTTGACCTCTACGAGAAACAAATCTCCTTAGAGCCATTATTAATGAGTTCATGTCCAAACTTTGAGCTATTTCCACATGCACTGCGCGTGTAGTTAGACATGTGAAGAGGAACCCATATCGCTTAACATCACTTCTTCCTTGACGAATGAAGAAAGGCCCAAAACAGTCCAAAGTCACATATGAAAATGGTAGTTTATCAGGAATTACTCTATCAAGAGGCAAATCCGACATTTCTTGATATTCGCGTTTACGCTGCTTTCTTCTGCACAAGACACAATTGTTGATAATTTTCCTCACTAATGAAGTCCTCTTTACTATCCAATAGTTCTGCCTGATTTCTGCAAGAACATATTCTCTTCCATTGTGTCCAGTTGTCCTATGAATATAATCAACCATCAGGGATGCAATAAGACTGTCTTTTGGTATAACGATTGGATGCTTAGCATCATAGCTAATTGGTGCATCTTTGATTCTGCCTCCAACACGAAAAATATCATTTTTTTTTTACAAAAAGGACGCAGCGAAATCAAAGTGCTTGATTTTGGCATTTCTTGATTATTTGACAGCAAACGTATTTCTTCGCCGAAATATTTAGCTTGTTCATACTTGATTATCTTCAATTCCGCATTTTGTAGCTCAACAACAGAAAGTGGTTGAATACGATTTTCTTTAGGCAGGTTAGAAGGCAATTCATTTGCATTAAGTTTTGGAAACAACATATTTTTACCTCGTAATATCCAGGCAAAAGCTTTCTTCAGACGAAACCAGTCTGAATATTTTGAAATTATACGATCCAAAACGATTTTTCACATGCTGTATTTGAAAAACATTGTATCGATTCTTTTCTCGCCCCAAGATTATCCGTAGAGCAATCGTTTATAAAGTCAGGCTGTGAAGGCCATTCCTCAGCAGCCTGCCACAAAAAATCAGGACCAAATTTCCAGTATTGGCAATTCAAAAACGCATCAACTGAGAGCCTCCTTGAGGCAACATCTGCTGGGTTCAGCTGTGACGGCACATAACGCCATTGTTCAATTTCAGAAGTTTCCTTTATCAAATTTACTCTATTGGCCACAAAACTTTCAAATATTTTATCTGTATTTGCCAGGTATCGAAGAACAGTTGTACTGTCGGTCCAAAAATATGAAGCCGAAATTGGAAGTTTGAGTTCTTTTTTCAGAAATGCGTCATTTTTAGCAGAAATTTTTGCTGCACAGAGTTCGAGTCGCGGTATTGTTGAACCATTCAAAGGGACAAGTCTGGTTTTTCCACTTATATTAGCACAATGAACTTGTCCATACGTATTTGTAATTCTAATGTAGGCTACGGCACCATATGACTTTTCAGACGCATCTGAAAAATGATGAAGTTGCATATCGATTATTTTACCAAAATATTTTGGTGTATAGCATCTCGGCACATTGAAATTCTTTAATTTGGGTAAATCAGAAAGCCATTTCGACCATTCTTTCTTCAATTCTGGTGGAATAGGATCGTCCCAATCAAATTTCTTCCTACATAAATCTTGGATCAAAACTTTCAGTTTCATAGGTTGAAGAACTGGCTGACCGAAACCAAGAGGATCAAAAATAGAATTAATAGTTGACAACAATCCTCCTTTTGTAGCAGGTTTATCCTTACGTTTGACACGAAAGCACAAAGTATCTTGTTTTACATTCCATATCATACCAAGCGCCTTTTCCACGGGCAGATCATCCACTGAGAGATCCAATCCTTTGACATCTTTTGCACGATGCTCTTCCGGAATTGACAGTAAAACAGCTCGATCATTACTGACCCATTTTGTTATTTCAAATCCACCTTTAGATACTAAATTTCTTACATTCTTGACATGATATATAGCTTCCTCAGCATTGGGTTTTGAATCCAAAAAATCATCAACGTAGTAAGCATCATAAACATCATTCACAGTGCTTCACTAAAATTTTCTTTATTATCTTCTGCAGTCGTTTTCAAGGCAAAATTGGCACAGCTGGGTGAGCAGATTGTACCAAAGAGAAATAAAGTCATTCTAAAGCAGACCACAGGTTGTGAGACATCGCTATTTCGCCACCAAAGGAATCTCGATGAGGTTCGGAAACTTTCACTTGGTGAAACATTGCTCGGATGTCTCCTTGAATAGCAACGGATTTTTTTCGAAAACGAGCCAGAACACCAACCAAATTATTTGCAAGATCTGGCCCCTGTAACAGAACGTCATTCAAACACAGTCCAGAAAATTTAGCCGAACAATCAAATACAACACGAAGGCTTTTCTTTTCTGGGTGGCGCACTCCGTGGTGACTAAGATACCAAGTTTTACCATCATATTCCTCTGAATTGTTGACCTTCTCTGCATAACCATTATCAATCATAACTTTTACAAAATTTTTGTATTCATTGAAGAAATCCGGTTCTTTTAAAAATCGTCTTCTGAGATATTCTAATCTTTGTTCTGCATGACTTTTGTTCTTTGGCAAAATCACATTAGGATTTTTAAATGGAAGATCAATTTCATAATGTCCATTCGTTGTCAAATGAATAGACTTATTCACTCTTTCCATGAAAATTTCTTGATTAGGGGAAAATTCTGGGTTTTTCGTTTTGTATGGAGTCGACAACTCCAGTGCACATTATACAGAGTGGGTGCACACTAGATTTGATGAAAAAGCTGGAATTTGATCTTTCCATTTTCTCATTTTTGGGAGGACAGCTTATCATCCATCCAGCAGGGCATCTCACAGCAAAATATTCATCTGGCCCGTGTATAATTTCCAATGGCTTATGTAAAGCAAAATTATCTTTTCCTATTAACGAGCCAACTTCTTGATTTAGCCTAGGAATTACCACATCCTTGAATTCGTGAAACTGATCCACATCCTTCTGTGTTGGAATATTTGGAACATCAATATCGATGCATTTATTAGAAAATAGTTGACCCAATGCAATAAAATCAGATTCATCAAAATGGGATAGCTCAATGTCGTTAATAACAGAGCTTTTCTTTTGTTCAGTCACATTTGAAATAGTATGAATATTTAAATTTGTTTCCTGACCGGTGGCATTCAATCTTTGCATGAGTGCTTCACTTATAAAAGAACATGTTGAGCCAGTGTCGAAAAAGGCATTTGTTAACACAACATCATTCTGTCCCTTCACACGTACCTTGACTGGAATTACGTTTAATAAAACTCCTGTTTCACTGACAGAATTCACAAACGCACTAAATTTATATTCTTCTTTGTTTTCATTAGTATTTTTTGATACAGCAGCATCATTAGCAGGCTTACGTTGCTCAGATTGCTCATCCGCATTTACATTATCTGGGGGGTGCAAAAGCGTAGTATGCTTTCGCTTACAATTCGGAACTCTGCATGGGTTCTCGCGTCTGCACTGTCTTGACCAGTGCCCCTTTTGTAGACAAGAAAAACACAATTTCAAATCCCTTACAAATTTCTCTCTGTCCACATGTTTCATATTTCTAAACTCTTGACAGTGATTCAGGAAATGACTGCCACTGCATTTGAAACATTTAGGAATTGGTTTGTCAGCAGCGGAGACAGTTGTAGTAAAATATGATTTGGGTTGTTTCATTGGTTTATTTGCAATTTCTCTGATTTTTTGAACATTATTTGATTCATGATTAAAAAGGTTTGACAATTCCTTCGTTTTCTTACGCACATATGACACGAGATGTGTTAAGCTCAAGTCCCTTTCTTTCACATGAAGAGTATCATCCACCAAAGTTCGCCAACCTGGCCTCCAAACTGATGACATTCTCCACGATATTTTATCAATAATCATCAAAGACAGACCTTTATTTTTAATGCCCTTTAATGTATTTTCACATGCAATTAATTCAGCAGCAAACATTGTTAGAGCTTCCATGTCATTGGTTCTAAGTTGCGGGCCTTCTACAATAGAATTCAAACATGCCTGTTCAATTTGCAATTGATGGCCATAAGTTTCTGCGAGTAATTTCAATGCCTCATCATAGCATGCTGGACCTTTATGTTGGCACTCTTTTACAAAAGCACGAGCAGTGCCTCTCGTGTATTGTAACAAATAAACAAATCTTTGTTTTGCATTCTGCACTTTTGCAGCAATAACAGTATCAAAAATATCAATAAAGTCATGGTATTCACCAGCATCACCAGAAAAAACTGGAGGTTCTGTTGGAAGTAAATTGGCTTGCTGGGGTATATTAATTTGAGTAGCTTCTTCATTAATAATTGGAATTGTCAGTCTATTGGTGACACCAGTGACATGTTATAAATTGGAATTGTACCTGTATTTGAACTAAAATTGCTAGCAAAATCAGTGCAAGAATAAGTCATGCAATTACTGGTAGGTGCATTATTACTGGTAGTAGAAGCAGCAAAATAACTTGAACTGGCAGTATAGGTAGGGCATGCAGCATATGAACTCATACGAATAGGCTGTATTTGATTTGCAAGCACATTTACGGGATTCACAGCAGAATCTATTTGTTTAGGAATTATTATTGAATTATTAGCATTATGTGATGCAGTACTAGCCACAACCATACATTCATTCGCACCAAGCACGCTGGTAGTATGTGGACAACAAATTTCAAAACCAAGGGAGGATGAATAAACCGACATACCTTGATCCCCACCAATAGCAGGAACGGAACGCGAAACATCCCCAAACGAGTGACTTGGCTGATTTGCAGTTGTTAACATGGTCTGAGATGGCACAGTGGATCGAATATTATTTTCAATTGTAGCAGGAGAATCAGATCTTATTTCAGGTGGAGATACATTCTGTATCTCGTTACTATTTGACACATTTGTACAGGTGCAGTTGGAAGTAACAGTTCACTTCCATTTGTACCGGAAATAGCAGGAAGGTCAAAAGGTAACCCCCTCTCTGCCATAGCTTCCGTAAAGTCAGCATCTAATTCTAACTGGGTGCGCTGATCTCTACGTTTTAGTTCATTTAGTTCTCTGTCTTTGCGTTTTTGGAAACTTTCCCTCTCAATTTGACACTTTCTTCTTAGCTCTTCTTCTTCCATTCGAATCTTTTCCTCTTGAATTTGACGTTTTCGTTTGATTTCTTCATTTTCTTGTATTAACTTTTCTTTTTTAATTTGACGTTTTCGTATAATTTCTTCATTTTCCAGTCTCACTTTCTCGCTCCAATCTGCTTCTTTTTGTGAAATGGAGTCTTGTAGTTGAATCTTCTCGAGTTCAATCTTCATTTGTAGATTTAATTTTCTTGCTTTGTAAATATCTTGGATTTGAGAGTCACTGTAAGTGAATACCCGTGACATCACTGATGACGCAGTTCGGATGCTTCGAGATTGTAACGAACCCCCAATACTGAAAACTTTTGATTTTTGTGAAACACTGTCACGTGATTGAGCACTATATTTTGATTTCGCTCTTGTGATCATTTTGTGAACATTCATTTGCTTATCTTCGGCATTGAAAGATGCTACAGATTTCCCTTGTTTATTTGTTGTTTCCCTTGTTTATTTGGGAAACTGAATCCACATCAGACGATCTTCGGAAAAGGTCATGAATCGAGCCACTACCGCAGGGGTTCTCAACCTGGGGTACGCGAACCCCCAGGGGTTCAAAAGAAGATTTCCAGGGGTACTTGAATGGCAATTGAGTTTTTATGTGTTCCTATTTTTTATGTCCTTTACTATCAGAGAAAAATGCGTGCCGATTGTCGCAATACACAGGGACAGCCTTCACAATAAAATTCTGTATAAATGAAATGAAAACTTTTGTTTAATATCATTTAAAACTGTGGTTTCCAAACTTTCGGGCGGACCGGTCAAATTAAATAAATGTACTCGCGGATCGGTAAAAAATTAAATGAGTGGAATAAAAAATATTAACATATATTTGCGAAATGTAATGCATTGTCGGTCACTCACTATGCTTCTATGTAAAAAAGGCACACATGAATAAAAACAAATAATGCGCCGGCTAAAAATTGATTTGAGTAGACCAAACTTTGTCCAGGAGAAGACCTATTGTCATCGTTCTTTTCAAATGCTTTGTTAGTTAGCTAAATGAATTTAATTTAAGATGACAAAGGCACCGGTAACTTGGCACCAGATGCACAGCCCTGATGGAAATGATCTCTGCGGCCCATGCTTCTGTTGCGCGTCTTGTGGCCACTTGGAGGGTTGCAACAGGATCATATTCCGGATGTTAAAGCGAAGCCCCGGAATATTATACTGTCCATGACTGTTTTCTGGCTTGAACAAAGAAATATTCATAACTTTTAATTGGATGTTCATATTAAGCAGAAAACGCATGCAGAACAGAAACAACATGTGTGCCGATCTTTAGGTTTCTGAATCTTGCGAGATTTGACGGACACTTTCGCGATGAATCGGAACCGAAAAGTGTGTAAACTCCACGCTAAGACTTAGTCGGGCAATTAATATCGCATACAGCAATATGTCGGCGAAAGAGAAATTGCGTACGAAAACAAACGCAACGTCGTTATTTCGGGTTTGGTAAAGCGATTAAGACGGCTGAAAAACAACAAAATTTCTCGCAGACCGAGAAGAAAGCTTCCGGTGATGGTCTATAGGCCAGCAAGTTGGGAACTACTGCTTTGAAACACAGTTTAAAAATTGTTAGTCAACTTTGTTTGGTGTCTGATTACTGGGGGTTCGTGTTGAACATTTCACAACTCGGGGGGTACTTAAGAAAGTCATCCGTATATTCCCCGAAAGGTAATTTTGTATACGTTTCAAAATTTTACTTATTTTGATGATACATTTCAAAAAAAGGTATTAAATCTTACAAAAATACAAAAAATTAGTAGATGGGACTAAAAATAGACTTACACATCTGATCAAAACAAATGGTTTAGAAGTTATGTTGATTTAAAATTAGAGATATTACAATTTTTTAATGCGTCAAATCGATGCGACAGCGTGGGAGGTCAGGGTGAGAGAGTAGCATCGTTCTGGGGATTCAGAGTTCAAAGAGTTAACAGGAAAAAGGTTGAAAACCCCTGCACTACCGGAACCCACACATAACAATGCGACCGTTCTGCTAGCCCCAAAATTGTTCAAGCCAGACGCTCAATCGAGCGCCTCCTACATATTAGTCGAGACAACGGCTCGCTCATTAGCATCGCCTTTGTACTGCATGTATTAGCTCTAGATTTACCACAGTTATCCACTTTTACGAAATTTAATAAACCAAGACTGATTTAATAAGACATTTGAAGTTTCGCTTTACGAGTTACTCTTACTTGCTATTGCATGGCTATATCTATGAGACAAACATATCACTACTGGCAGGACCAACCATATAGCTGCGACAGCTGCGCTCGGCCGCCTCAGGCAGCCTGGCGCGCTCCTTTGCTATACCCGAGGTTTCCATGATTGCTGAGCTCACCTTAGGAAACCTGCGTTACACCTTGGCAGATGTACCGCCCCAGTCAAACTCAAACTGAATGCATGTATTAGCTCTAGATTTACCACAGTTATCCACTTCACTAACGAGACTTAATAAACCAAGACGGATTTAAAGAGCCATTTGCAGTTTCGCTTTAATAGTTACTCGTTCTTGCAATAGCATGGTTTTATCTTTGAGACAAACATATCACTACTGGCAGGACCAACCAAATAGCTGCGACAGCTGCGCTCGGCCGCCTCAGGCAGCCTGGCGCGCTCCTTTGCTCTACCCGAGGTTTCCATGATCGCTGAGCTCACCTTAGGGCACCTGCGTTACACCTTGGCAGATGTACCGCCCCAGTTAAACTCCAACTCAATGCATGTATTAGCTCTAGATTTACCACAGTTATCCACTTCGATTACGAGACTTAATAAATCAAGACTGATTTAATGAGCCATTTGCAGTTTCGCTTTACGAGTACTCGTACTTGCAATTGCATGGCTTTATCTTTGAGACAAACATATCTCTACTGGCAGGACCAACTAGATAGCTGCAACACCAGCGCTCGGCCCCCTCAGGCAGGCTAGCGCTCTCCTTTGCTCTACCCGAGGTCGCCATCCTCGCTGAGCTCACCTTACGGCATCTGCGTTACACCTTGACAGGTGTACCGCCCCAGTCAAACTCAATGCATGTATTAGCTCTAGATTTACCACAGATATCCACTTCGCTTACGAGACTTAATAAACCAAGGCTGATTTAATAAGCCATTTGCAGTTTCGCTTTAATAGTACTCGTACTTGCAATAGCATGGTTTTATCATTGATACAAGCATATCACTACGGGCAGGACCAACCAGATAGTGCAACAGCTGCGCTCGGCCCCCTCAGGGAGCCTGGCGCGCCCTTTTGCTCTACCCGAGGTTTCCATCCTCGCTGAGCTCACCTCAGGACACCTGAGTTACACCTTAACAGATGTACCGCCCCAGTCAAACTCAAACTCAATGCATGTATCGCTCCACTTCGCTGCGACAGCTGCGCTTGGCCCCCTCAGGCAGCGTGGCTCTTCTCTTTGCTCTACCCGAGGTTTGCATTCTCGCTGAGCTCACCTTAGGACACCTTCGTTACACCTTGACACATGTACCGCTCCAGTCAAACTCAATGCATGTATCAGCTCTAGGTTTACCACAGTTATCCACTTCGCTTAAGAGACTTAATAAACCAAGGCTGATTTAATAAGCCATTTGCAGTTTCGCTTTAATAGTACTCGTACTTGCAATAGCATGGTTTTATCTTTGCGACAAGCATATCACTACTGGCAGGACCAACCAGATAGCTGCGACAGCTGCTCTCGGCCACCCTTAGGCAGCCTGGCGCGCCCCTTTGCTCTACCCGAGGTTTCCATCCTCGCTGAGCTCACCTTAGGACATCTGCGTTACACCTTGACAGGTGTACCGCCCCAATCAAATTCAAATTCAATGCATGTATTAGCTCTAGATTTACCACAGTTATCCTCTTTGCTTACGATACTTAATAAACCAAGGCTGATTTAATGAGCCATTTGCAGTTTCGCTTTAATAGTTCTCGTACTTGCAATAAATAGCATGGTTTAATCTTTGAAACAAGCATATTACTACTGGCAGGACCAACCAGATAGCTGCGACAGCTGCGCTCGGCCACCCTCAGGCAGCCTGGAGCGCCCCTTTGCTTTCCCGAGGTTTCCATCTTCGCTGAGCTCACTTTAGGATACTTGCGTTACCCTTTGACAACTTACCGCCCCAGTCAAACTCAAACTTATTGCATGTATACATAACAATGCGACCGTTCTGCTAGCACCAAAAGTGCTCAAGCCTGACGCTCGATCGAGCGCCTCCTACATATTAATCGAGACAACGGCTCGCTCATTGGCATCGCCTTTGTACTTTAACATTTTTTTGCCGCTATCGACTCCGTGGCGCCGCTTCTGTCGCGACGCGGCACTCTCTCGCCCGCCGAGGTAGAATGCCGGTCACCGTGCGCCGGACGGCGCGGCGAAAAAAAAGACATGTCCAACAACACGATTGCCCGGCTGGTGAAGTGAAAAAAAAGTCCCAAAAGGACAAATCGAAGGATATTAAGGATGACTCTCAACACTTCGCAGTGCGAAACAGCTCTAGTGGGTACGACACCCCAATTTTCAACTAAGTTGCCTGCAAATGATTTAGCATCTCGCATTAGCGCAGCTTGCGCGCCTTGACTTAGGCGCAAGTCGTTCAATCATACCATCCTCGCTAGGGTCACCTTAGGACACCTGCGTTACCCTTTGACAGATTT